ATGTATAAGAGCAGAGGATTATCTACCAGTGTACTTCCAAAGGACTTTTTGTACAGACGTAGCCTAATTCATCACTAGGAGTTGGGTGCTGTTATGAGACAAGTGTGAGCACCAGATCCAAAATTCAATGGTTAAGACTAGCAAAAATTGATTTACTTGACTTTATTCTATACATATGTATGTCAAACTTCTTGGGTAAACCTTAATATTCATGACATAACTTACCTCTCCCCAGAAAAACCTTGTAGGCAGAAGAGTCTGATTGAGAAGTTGGACCTTATGTTGCGTTTGCACATTATCGTAAACCTCTGGCATATGTAGACTACTTGAGAGAAGGCAAGCCTGGGGCTTCTTGACGTCAGCACGTACACCGATGTAACTGTATATTTGGGTAGATCACATTATAAGCTTTCATTTGGTTTTTGAATGGCTTCCCTACTATAGGTAAATCCAGAGATGTGAGCATTTAAAGTTTAGGTGTATAAGAACCACGTTTTGAGAAAATCAACCTCAAAGATAAACTAACCTGTACAAATAATATGACTAGACTTACAGAATATGTGTAGAAAACACTATTTTAGCAAGAAAATTCACTTACAAAGTATACAATAATAAAATATAAGTATCAAGTTATTCAAAAACATTAAAATCAAAATTTTGTAAAAATGTTGACTTTGGCCTGTTTTGGTGAATATCTCAATATGATTTCACCAACGATGCGTCTCATTTCATGATGAGACCTCACAAATATCATATGAATGAATTTGATAATACCGTTTATAACTTTTTTATTTAAGCACTGACATTTGATATACTGTAGTTATGTACAGTTTAAACTCGTTATTACAATAATTACACCCAGAATGCTGGGTCTGAACCCAAGTGATTTATCACAAAGTTAGAACAAAAAATAAAAAAGATATACCATGGCTTGCCATTGTCAACTGAACATTCAAAGACTGAGCTAAGGTATCTGCAGAAGGTAGGGTTGAAGGTGACTCTGATGAGGGTAGAACCCAAGGCTGGTAGCTCCCCACTTGAAGGCTTAAAGCTAAACTCTGAAATTCCCTGAAAAATATAAACATAATGTCATTCATCAGTGAATGTTATTTTAAGAATACCAAATAATATATTAATCGGTTTCTCATTGCTTCATGCCAGAATCATAACAATAAAAATAAACTCAGCAGTATTGTTTTTGCCAAGAGTTATTATCTAATAATTTTGTTTGTTTCATTTATTATTTGAATTTCATTCTGTATTCTGTTATTTTATATTATCTATTAATGTATCACTATCACAGATGAACTTTCATGTGTAGCATTAATAGTATATTTTTGTTAACACACAGATATCAGGAAATATTTCAATAAACTGTACTGAAAAGTATTTCTCGTGATTTAAAAATTGTCTTAAGAATTTTGTCTCACAAAATGAAATGAATTCCATTTGGAAAATAAACCAACATACAGATATAACTTTTTTTCTAAACTTGCTACAAATATTTATTACTGACTTGCAGTTGTTTGTCCTGAAACTCCTTGCTTTCATATATACTCCATTTAGCTGGAATCTGTGATATGTTCCTGATTACAATTTCTTCTGTGACTTCATACCCGTAACGAACCAGCCCAAAATCAACAGATGGTGTATCTATAATCACCTCTGGACCCTAAAAAGAAATGCATCATAAATGGGCGTGTTTCTACTGAATATCGAGAAAGAAACGGTTCTCTTATCATTGGTTGATTATTGGATTAGCAAAATAAGAAGTGCGTTGAAACTGCATTTTGACTCCACATGAAACAGTTACCGGAATGATGCGCTACATTATACGTGACGTAACAATTACTCAGAATGCAATTTAAAATTACCCTTATTATAAGGAGCAACAATAAAGAATGTACCAAAACTTCTTATGTAATATAAAAAAAACAACAGCAATATAAAACCAGAGCCTTGCAGGTGTCAACGTTCCTATGCATGATACTCTACTTTTAGAAGTATATAT